GCCCGGCAGAGCTGTGCCTGGCAGAGCTGCGCCCGGCAGAGCTGTTCTTGGCAGAGCTGAGCCTGGCAGAGCTGAGCCCGGCAGAGCTGCGCCCGGCAGAGCTGTTCTTGGCAGAGCTGCGCCCGGCAGAGCTGCGCCCGGCAGAGCTGCTCCCATCCCGGACCGAGACCGACCTGGTCAGGAGCTCCATACACCTGCGGGATGCTGCCCCAGCCCGGTGACTCCGCCAGGGCACTGGGAGCGTCCCCACGGGAGAGGCTCTGACCTGCCTGCCACCTCCGAGCACAATTAGGAAAATTCCTTCAAAGCACTGGGTTTCCGAACGCAGTCGGTGAGCCGAGGGACATTTGCTGCCTTTGTGCTCACTGCTGCTACCTGTCCGTCTGAACTGCCCATGTCCTAAGCAAAGTGCAACCCCTCACCCACGCGGGGCACACAGGAGCCCCCCAAAACGCGCTGCCAAGAGCACGGACGATTCCGGGCTCATGAGAGTTTGTATCCCAGGGCTTAAAACAGCACGGATGCTACAACACCGTGCAATCGGGAGGAAACACATTTCCAAGCCKTAATCCCTGTCCTTAGCTTTCGGGAAGCCAACGTGCATGAGAGGAACACGACAGCTTTGGATTTGTGTTTCCCATGGAGTCGCTCCCTATTTAACCTGCCCCTAATGTCTAACAGTCACTGCTGGGCTCCAGGTGCCGCTCCATGTGTTTGTGGCCCTGAGGGGCAGGCTGGTGTGCGGGATTCCTGCCCCGATCCCTCCCTGCCGCGGGATTCCTGCCCCAATCCCTCCCTGCCGCGGGATTCCTGCCCCGATCCCTCCGTGCCCAGGGCAGCGGCCGGGGCAGATGCCAGGTCTCCCATTTTAGCACTCACACATGTTTTGTCCCTCGCGGGTTCTCTGCAGAAGGCAGCTGTAAATCTGGCAAAACGTGTCTTTTTTCCCCTAATTAACTTAGCAAAACGGCAGTCGAATTTAAAGCCAAAACAAAYATTTTGCTATATATAGCCAGGCGCTTTACATCCGAAAGGATGATATATARAAGAGTGTACAATTCAGCGAGGCAGTGAAAACAGAGCTAAAGAGCTAAAAAGCAGAACACGCTGAATAAACAGGCCAGGCAGATACCAGATAAACTGTGCTCTGAATTCCCTTTGGCAGAAATGCTGGGAAAACGGTGACTCGCCTCGGCTAGGCTGCTGGATACAGCTGGTGACAGAGCAGCAGGACACGGCTCTCGCGTGACTGTGCTCGCTACAGGCCTCGCGCCGCAGGGGAGAACGTGGATTAAGGTAGGGAACATTCATAGCCTCCTGCTCTTAGCTCCTTGCTCATCTATCACATGGCTTTTATTAGCAATTTTATGTGCAGAATTTCTAAAAGCCGTTAACACTTTTTGATAGSGTTTCCATCACCTGTCAAGGATTGGTGTAGGTATAGGGGAAAAAATCTGACAGCCAACAAGTTGCAGGAAACAGCAATAAGAACAGGAAGGACTGTAGAAGGCTCCAGGTCTCGAGACACTACAAAACCTTACTCATCTGTCATACAAAAGACATCATGTGCTGTTAAAAAATTATCTAGTGTGGTGTCCTTATTAAACACATGCATGGGACAGGGTTTTCTGATCAGGATGTTTTGAGATGCACAGTACAAATTTAAAAGCAATCCAATTAACAGTCCCTGTCATCCTTTCCCTTTTCAGCTCCATCTTTCTATGCCTCTTGCACCACTTCATTACTTTTTAAAAATCAGCAAGAGGTTTTTCATTTCATCTTCTCTCTTCCTACCCCTTTTCTTCTTGTCTCGCATCCCCTCTCTGCCTGCTTCCACGCTCACCTTGTAAAGGAAGCGCAGAACGAGGAGGGACGTTAACAAGTGGATAGCAGCTAATGGGGCCAAGGTTTGCTCAAGTCCCGGCACTCACTGCAGAAACGGTGTGCTAAAAATAGACCACACCTTCATCCAACAGAGACCACGGCACATTCCAGTATAGAGCTAAATAATAACAGCCAAGTTCATCAGAAAGAGGAAATGTGCACTGCAGCTCCTGGAGCTCTTACAGCAGCATACACCTAAGTGAAGAAATGTGAGAGCTGTCACATTCAATAAAAATGTTTAATGTCTCCTCGCAGMGAGCCCAGCCAGACATCAGTATTCATGACAAAAATGTAAGTGCCCTGTCCTGCTGTATCATTCCCTAGCTATAGGAAACAATTATGCACCATCTGAGAGTGTTTTGCTGACGCTGGAATTCCCGATGGATTACTCCCTGAAGTTCAGAGAATGGTATCCATATAACAGCTTTATATCCCCCAAGGCAAAGTCCCCAAAGCCGCTGAGAGGGGCGGCAGGGGTGAGGGCAAAGSGAAAGGAAAGAAGCTCATCTCTCCTGCAAATTAAGGTTAACAAAGTTTGCAGGGTTCCTTAAGCGACTGATAAAGTGACAATATCCAATTCCTCACACCAAGTAAGGAGCTGTCCACGTGAGGAATTTTACATGTTTTACTAACAATTTATCTTCGGGTAAATAGCGCTGGGTGCAAAACATCCCTGTGTTACCAGTGGCTCCCCGCCACAAACTGACTCGGGTACCTTTGCAGATCGAAGGCAACAGAGCCCCGAGCCCCGGTTTTGCAACTCTTCAAAAATAAAATCACAATACGAGGCTTAAAGCACATGCTCTGTTTCTCTACCAGAGTCTCAGATGGGTGTTTTTGATCCAACCTAGATAACTTCATGAAAAACCTCAGTGCTTTTACTCCAGACCATTCCTATGGCATTGCTTGTGTTTAAGCTGTAACAGCTCACATTTCCTCAGGCTCGCGTGGGCATTTCCATACCTGCACCTTTTGCACGTCGTTGCCAACCGCAGCCGTTGGGAAGGCGGTGCCRCCGAGCGTGGGGCACGGCAGGACACGCAGGTCGGGCTCAGCACCGCGTTGTTCTGCAGCCCTTGCCATCAGGGAGACGCACACGGGGCAGACAGAGCCGCGCGGGGAYGGTTTGTGCTTGTCTCAGCTTCAGCCTCCTGGCTCCACACGTTCCACAGCTGGTACCTACGTGCCGTGGAGAGCTTATTTAGAGAATGCAGTCACGTTCTGCAGGATGCAGTCGAGGGAAGTGTCCCCAGGCACCACTAGCTGTGCCGGGCCCGTTCTGCACCACCTGCTGAGTTCTGCTCTGCTGAGCGGGGCCTAAGACAGACACAAATAATCAGCACCCAGGATCCTGGCGACCAAAGCCACCGAAGCACCAAGGAGCACTCGGCCAAAGCGTGTATGAGAGGAGAGGAAGGGAGCAGGCTCATCACTGCCTCCAGCTCCACTCCCCGCCACACAGCCTGGCCCAATGTGTGGCCTTTAACACTGACCTCTAATATCGTAGTTTGTTAAACACTCTTAATTTTGAATCATGAACAGCTTCCAGAGATCAATAAATCCCACAGCTTCGAACTCAAAGAACATGTGCATATCAAAAGGATACTGTGATCACTGTTTGCAGACAGCGCCTGCTTTGAACCTGGCTCAAGTTTCTGCAATTCATGCAGCGAAACTCGCACACTGTGTGCGGCTGGCGGCGGCACCGAGAAGCCACCGTGACCAGCACGGGGGTAAGAGCGTGCAGGAGAGCTCTGCTAGACCCCTGCGAAACGAGAGAAGCCTTAAACGTCTCGTTGCGATGGTTTAACGAGTTTATGGTTATGTGAGGCTCGGCGTTCCTCAATTCCCTGCTGACTATTGTATTGCTCCTGTGCAGCAGCACAGCTCTAGCGCAAAACCACAGCTTGGATTAGCAATAATGGCATACGATGAAGAACAGTGTGTACATCCAGAAGAGCAGTGGAAATTTCCACACTCATTTGTCGACTTTCAAAAGGAAATCAAGCTAAAACATCCATGCTACACAGGCAGTCCCTGGTGCAGGGCAGAGCTATTGAACACACTGCTCAAAGGAACCAACTTGTGCAACTTATTGCAAAAAGCATCAGATTTGTATGTCTGCTTTAGGATGGAAATATGATAGTTGCACAAAAATCCACATTTGCACATTCAGACATCTCCTTACCAGCTATTCTTGAACTTAAATAAACCCTGCAGAGTGACCACGTGCTCTTCTGCTCAAGCACTCCAAAACTTGAGACAATAAGGTTTTGAAACAAAGCTGAATCTGATTTTACATAATGTACTAAATAGTTTGTCATTTATTTTTTTGAGGACAGAGTCATGATATCCAGCAGTCCCGACCAGCTGAYTAAACATTACCCCCACCTTCATGTACTTCTCACAAAACAAAGCAGCCAGCCTGCAGAAAGGCTCAACTGACTTGGATCAAACCCAATGCATTTGCATGACATCTTTAGAAGCATCCCATGGAGAAGGAATTTTTTAGCAGGAAAAATTAGTACCATTCCCAAAGAGAGCTCACTTGAAGCCAGCTCCTTTTCTTTCATTGCCAAATTTCCACATTCTATGACAAGAGTTATTTTACCTTTTTGTAACTTTATGGCTAATAACAAGTGCCGTGTGATTTTAAACATTAGCGATCGTGAAACTTGTATAAAAATCCCCTTTTATGCCTTAGTAACTAAGTTTCCCACTGGGTCCGCCCCTTGCATGACCGCGCGTCTGCGAGGGCGAGCGGGTGACGCTCCGCGGGGACAGGCGCTGCCCGTTCCTGCCCAGCAGCACCGCTGGCTCTGCAGCYTCAAAGGCAGCGCACGAGCCCGGCCAGCGCCGCCACGGCGTCCGGCAGCAGGGCTGCTCTGGCCTGTGCGAATTTATCAGAAAAATACAGACGTAGCTTTATATACTGTTTCCATACGTCTCTAGTTATTCGTTAGTCTGATGGACGCATATGAAGCAAACACTTGAAGGACTCGGCTTCTGTCTGTCATTTTCCTTCTTTTAGCTTCTTGGACCAATAAATCAACATCATTTCTGTGATATCCTCTACCTTTTTTTTGCTACTTTGTCCACAGAAAAGCACGTGACCTGGGCTGCAGTCGCGATTGCAGAATTACTCTGCTGGGTCCATAACCAAAACAAATCTAACGGAGTTCTGCAGTGCACAACATGCCCAGGCCAAATACTGTTCTTTAAATGCTGGCTCAACGTGCACCATTCAGCATGAAGATGCTGCCTTCGCACTCATCTGCRGTAGGGGAATCACTTGTGTGATGAGAGCACAAAAAGTGACTTTAAATTGGGAAATATTTTTGTCACCAAMCCTGAATATTCCACACAAACAAAAGTTTTGGTAGCAAAAGCAGCAGCATGCTGAAACATCGGCAACAGAGTCTGCCTGCCAAGCATCAGGCAAGGCTTTTGCCTGCTGTCAAATGAACCTCCACGTGGAGGCTGTCAAAATGCATACCGGGCAGGAGAAGCTTCGCCTCTCCCAGGCGCTGGGCTGGCAGCAGCCCGTAGGAGCAGCATCACCTTTCCCAGGGTCTCACCTTTCCCAGGGTCCCACCTCTTCCAGAGTCTCGCCTCCCTGCTCAGAGACCTCCCATAGGGTGCACATGGGACCCAAAGGAAGAGTCTGGGCCGTGGTGTGATCCAGCAGTGCCTCCACAGGGCCCTGGGATGGAGCGGGATCCAGAGRGCTCAGCGGGCTGCTTGGGTACATCTGGAAGGCTACACCCTGCCAGCTGTGCAACAAGCAGTGAGCATTAATGAGCATTAATAAGCATTGATAAGCATTACGCACTCGAGACATGGCAGATTGGCCTTGGACCGTGGCCCTGAGCTTTAGTCGAGTGCAGGAGCAGGAAGCAAACGGGTCGCCCCAAGGAAACCTCTGATTGCGGCTCAGTCCCTTCTCCCCAGGAGGCACCCCCCACACCTCCAGCTTCTTTATTTAAAAAGCAGCAACAAAAGCCCAACAATTTTGCTGGCAAATCCTGGCCGGAGGTGCCCAGCCCGTGGTCTCTCCCTGCAGGCTGCAGCTCCCCGGGGACCCTGGTTTCCAGCCAGCACAGGGGAGCACAGCCTCGTCCGAGCCCCGGCCCCTCCTGGGTGAGGGCTTAGGCAGCGAGCTCCCCAAAATACTGCGTATGCTTTACTAAATATTGAATCCCACCGCAGGCTGAACACAGCACAGAAGCTTTTAGGCTAGTCCAACAGGGCTGGTCTTGCTCTCTCAGCTGTCACATACTTTCAGCGAAGTCACTCGGACTCTACTTTGTAAACAAGAACAGACCAAAGCCAAGGGTTATCTGTTAAACCACGCATGCAAGATAGCACGAGCTAGAGCCAGAATCCTGAATTTATAGCTAAGGACTTCCAGACACTGACTCTTCCATCTTGGCTAATCTCAACTTCAGAAAATGTTTTCTCAATAATTTTCGTTTTCCAGGATTCAGAAATGTGGTGTCTTTTTTTTTTTTTTTTTTTTTATGGTTCGGTTTTGGGGGTTTTTTTTTCCCCCTTTCCTTTTAGTTAAAAAAAGAAATATGAAAGAAGGTATTTTCAAAAAAAAGACAATTTCAGTTCAGCTGTTGTAAATGGATGATTCTGGCTGGGTATGGCTGTGAGTTATCGCATCTATTTTCTCTTTGCAATATGTGATGTGGGTAACATCACTTTCCTGGGACATTCCAATGGGAATGTTGTCCCCTCGGCCGACACCTGCCAGCTGGTGCTGCAGAGCTCCCCGCGGCTACACCAGCCCGTGCACAAGTGCAAAGCAGAGCACAGAAAAAGAGTAAAGTCCCACTGCTTCTTAAGCTACATGTTCACTCTTTCTAGTGTGCAATTAGCATTTCTACTCGCATGAAACTGCTACAAAAGGAAAGGAAAAACTGCAAAAAATCCATTCGAATTAAGATGAAAATCATCTGCGACTAACTGTAATGTTTACTTGAAGTTAATCTGGTATTTACAGATTCTTTTTTTAAAGTGCTTTGAATAAAAACAAGCCTTTATAAATACACTGGAAAATGTTTAAACTCCAGCCAGGGATAAATGCTGCATTTCATAAACGAACGCTGGCTCTCTGCGGACAGTGGAACAGCACGACAGAGAARGAGCATATGGAGCTTCGTGCTGAAGACTGGCTTATGGCAACAGGTTTCCAGCCTGCAACTATTAAGCAGCTAATGCTATTTCATGTTACAGAAAGCTCTACTTACTCAGGAAATAAAATGTCTTTGCTTGTAGTGCACAAGTATCACTTCAGCCTAAGACAGYACTGAGGGTAAAAAAACCCTGGATTCTCTGTCTTCTCTTCATCCTAGGAAAACTGCTGGAAAACATGCAAATTAGAAGAGAATGTTGTTGTAGAAATAAGAGAAATACTGCTCAGGTTTCTGAGCAGAGCTGYAGAACATGTGGTTTAAGAACTGCTGAAGAAATGAAAAGCAGATTCTGCTTAGTTTGATTCAACAATTTTCTTCATCTCTGAATTACACTATTAAACTCACTGTTGTGGAAAGAGAACATATTTACCAGCTTTTAGCAGAAAATTACTAGCTTGTAATAGAAAACATTCAGGCAGYGTTCAGTCAACTATAGTTTTACTCAAGACATGAAAATTACTATTGGTCTAACTACCTAGAGTCAATAGCTTCAGTCATTCAAAAAACACARCTTTTGCCAGGTCCCTGAGCTAAGCAGAAAAAAAGAATTTATGAGTGAAAAAGTATTTTACCTGCAGATATCTCCTCTCCTTATGGTCTGTTCGAAAGGCTATTTCTGAGCCCCTYGCCTTGCTTGGGGATGCAAACGTGAACGGTGTCGGGTGAATCCCAATTCCCTCTTCTTGCAGGGGTGCCCAAGTGCTGCCCCTTGGGAGCGGCTGGCATCGCTCGGGGACACTGGGGGACAAGGGCTGGGAGGTGGTGGAACCGCTGCAGCCCTGCAAAGGCAGCTCAGTGTCCTGACGGATCCAGGGCTGAAGCTGCAGCAGAGCCAGCTGCAAGTGCTGCTTCCTGCTCCAACGCAAAGCCAAACCCACTGGGCTCACCTGCAGCCGTGCCCCATAGCTCGCTTCAGCTTCAGTCCACTTTAAGAAAGCCTAACATATAGGGAGGAGAGTCATGGTGAGAAGAAGTCCGTACACGTCTCATACAGAGGCCTCTTCACATGTCCACCWGTCATCGAGTTTTGCCACTCAAGGAAGAGGAAAAAATATATGTAAATACATCAATTATATCCTCTGGAACTGGTTGCCAGGAGAGGTTGTGAAATCTCCTTTCCTGGAGATATTCAAGACCTGCTTGGACGCAGCCTGTGCCCCGTGCTCTAGGTGATCCTGTGTGTGCAGGGGGGTTGGACTAGATGGTCTCTAAAGGTCCCTTCCAACCTTTGTGATTCTATGATATATATAAATTGTGTGTATGTATATGCACATATTGTTAGAKATGATACCAGGGGCTGGTATAGGCTAATCCGGTTGCAATCAGGGAAGTCTCTAAAGGGTAGCTTGGTGCCATAGAAGTTATGTAAAAGTGGCGTTCTGTAATCTGTAACCTTCCTCTCCTAATTTTATTTCATGTAYTCCACATTTCATTAGCATGCCAAAGATAAGAGAATAACAGGACAAAAGGAACCAGAAATTCATAACGTCTCATCCTTTATGAATAAAGATATCCAGGAGGGGAGAAGAACAGTGCCAAATTGCTGTTCTTTTGGAAYTAAAGCACTGAAGTTATTTCTATGCCTCCTGCTAATAGATTTACTGTGCACTGACAYTGGGGCAGGGTGAAGTCCTGGTTCATATTTCTTTTCTTACCCAAAGTTTAGAATCTTTCTTCTGCCTACAACCAACACAGCGCAAGGCAAGGGCTGCTCAGCATTTGATGAACAGCCGCTCCTGTTTTTGCTGACATGAGCCAGGCCACAATGCTGCTCTAGCAAACGCTTTGGAAACCCAAGGGCCGCCCTGGGGCTGAGGACACCTCCTCCATGCACACRGCGTGAGATCCAAACCACTGCACATGCGGAGTTTCTTCACAGGTCAAATACCCCTGGAGCAAGCCTTGCAAGGGTGACTCATCCCTGCGCTTGGAGAACAACTTAGCACAGCATCTCCGTGTCCCAGGGCTGAGAAACACACAGCAGGACATGCGGCTCCGGGACAAGGAACAACAAAAGTTGCTGGACTGTTGAAGGACGACTCCTGAAAGTAGCTGCCTCTCGTAGGCAGTGATGGGTTCATTCAGCAGCTGCCTCCACAACCAAGCAGCAAGGCCAAGCTGGCCGGTGGCACGAGTCAGGCCTGATGACCCCTGGACATTTGGCTCTTCCCGGGCACTGGGAGCTCGGCAGCTTCCCAAGCTCCTTCCAGCTTGTCCCTATCCTGCACCCCTCCTCGCTCCGTCGGGCAGCCAGGCGCTCAGGACCAGCGGCTCCTGCACTGGGCACTCAGCAACACCTCGATGCACAGAGGCCCTGCCTGTGCATCCAGCAGCTCCGGGCTTGCAAGCAGCAGCATGGATAAARAGATGCCTTCGATTCCACACAGGCAGCTCAGTAAATAAGTTAGCTACTAACATGCTAATTGAATGCTGTCAAAATACTTGCAATAAAAATGTGAAAACATGCATGTTTAAGCTGTTCAAATTCAAATATTAAGTACGTTTATATTTTAAGTCATTTTTTCCTAGTGCAATAAAAAAGGAAGTCATGCCTTTCTTCTTTTTTTTCTTTTTCTTTTTTTTTTTTTTTTTTTTTTTTTTTTTTTTTTTTGAACTGTATTCAATTGACTACTCAGTAAGAGAAATTTGCAGGCTTGGTAAGAGACTCACAGTACATGACCATTTAATATCTGAATTCAGTCCAAGGAATAAACAGAAAAGAACATTCATTTTGGTGGTTGTCAGGCTGCTTCCAAGCTCTCTCTCTATTCCCTACACCCAACAGAAAGCTAACAACTAAACCCCGGATTCCGTGGGGCTGGCTCCACACCTCGTCACCGCACCGGCCACCCCCCGTCCCCGCAGCACCCACGGGACCCGCACCGCCGCACCACCGCCTGCAACGGTGCCACTTCCTCCTCCTTTCCCCCCTAGCCTGGCAAATATCCATGGAAGTTGTCACTGATGAAGCTAGTTCACACACGGAAAGAGAAACGGAACTGAAATCCAGTTGTAGCAAAAATCATGATTGCAAACCTATTTTAGACAAGGTGAGAGCAGCCACCAGCAGCGTATTGCACAAGTGAGTAAATACTACTGCACAGATGAGTCTACAAAGTTGTTTGGGTGTGTCAGGCTGAACTTCAGATTCATGGAAGGGGAGTGAAATTCAGCCAAGTGACTATGACAAAATTCTTATTCATTTCTAGGCCCAAGAAATGTAAATCTCTTTATTTGCCAGTAAAWGCGCAACTCAGCACCGTGTCACTGAAATAAAACTCAGTGTTGCAATGTTCAGTCCTGTAGTTCAGCCATATCGAAAACCCCACCCTACCTTTTAATCAAGGTCGAAATTTGTGACATCAGAACTCCTGTGTCCTGCTGCTACCTGTCTTCAAACCTGAGAAGTATTTTGCTAGATGGGATAGTATTAGGCCTGGATTCAGCAGAGGGTATGAACCCATCTTATCTTTAAGCACCCCAGAAGATTTGTGTGCCTGGCATTTGGCACGGTCTGACCCACGCTCCTGAGCATCTGAAAATAATGAAGTTCTCTGGCTAATTAAAAATGCTGACAAATTAAGATCAAAATTTACAAGTTCTACAGAAGAAAGGCTGCAGCTGGGAACTGAAGAGCTGGTACATGTAACCTTAAAACAACTCATTTTTAAAAAACTAACAAACAGTAAACTAATTACAACTAGAAAACAAAGTATAGCAGAATTCAAATACATACTCTCACCTGCRTGTAACTTGACAATAGCAATCCAGGCCTCATCTCCTTTATCCGAGTGGCATCCGTTTGCTTTGTGGGGTTCCACAGGTTGGGGACCAATCCTGCATCCTGGAGACTGGCAAGTCTTCATGCACAAATCACGAGTTCTTGCTCCACCACATGCAAAAACCCTTCACAGTGTCAGCATTCAAAACTGCAGCTCCTCTTCTCAGTTCCCCTGCAAGCATCTTTTAAGATTCCTGTTAATGAACTGCCAAAACATCTTCCTTTAACCATTGTCCTATACATTTACTTTACATAGGCTTATAGATACATAAAAACAATATTGCTCTCCGGACTCCAGTTACTTTTGCTTAAGACACTGGCTAATTTTACATAGTAAATATCATGCAGTTAAAGCTGGGATTGGCTATTAAACAATTGTCCTACTCTGATTCATAGTGATACTTTATACCATTAAAAATAGTTGAGCCATACAAATGGCTCTAGCCATGACATTTACACCACAAGAAGGGTGCCTACACCATTTTCTTAATTTTACAGCAAGATTACAGATCTTAATCTCTTAATCTTGCAGATTTCACTCTAGTCAAGCGAGTTGAAGAGCTCTTGGTGGCAGCAGGGYGCCTCTTCACTGCCCCAAAGGTGCCGAATGCCTCCTGGTGGTGAGTGACCCTCCAGTCACCATGACTTCATTAAGAGGCAACGGTTTGCAAAACCTCACACATCGCACCTCAYAGTCCAAGTTTAGGACTTCCAGGTCCAACCCAAGCTACTCCGCCTGATTTTGGCAMGGTGTTCAGTCTAGGAATTTGTTTTGGCAGTGAACTTGAAAAATGTGGCTCCTCTAAGACAAATCTCAGGTTTGAATCCATGTCACACCAGGCATGCTCCATTCCCACTAAACTACAAGGAATTCAGTGCCATCCCATGAGGTTTTGATGTGCTCTGTCTCCAGCTCTCTGGCCACAGGGAGCACAGGGACTTGGGGGATGTGTGTTAAGGGACAACAAAGTTTTAACAATGGAAAGAGGATTCTGTCGGTTCTTCTTCCAACGGAATGCAGACTATTCCATCAGACTCACACGGTATGCAATTTCTCCATTTGCAAAATATTTGAAAATACGTGTACTTTTAACCACATAGTTCACACACAGCAGTGACCAGACGAAAGCAAAACAAAGCTGCTGGTGAGTTCAAGGGAAAGTCGGGGAAGCTTTCCAGATTCAAATGCAACACCCAGGCATTTTCCTCACACTAAAGAATCACCTTTTTACATCTTACTCACTAACATACTGATTCACAACAAAATAAACCAGTAGACTACAGAAAGATAAAATTTGTCRTACAAGACCTACACACATAACAATAAGGGTGGTTAAATGCTTCTTTAAAGGCATCTGGTTGTGGTTTTGGAGATGCATAAGCAGAACAGTTTCTGCATACTCTCCCCATGGCTCAGAAGATTCTTGGATGTGCAGGAGAAAGACTYTTTCTAGGGTATCTCTGTTCCAGACAGAGTGAAACAAACAGCGGCAAGGGAGAAATCACAAATTACCTCTTAGATCAAAGAATTTTTGATCTGCATGGTTATCAGTGGAGCAGTTAAACATTCTATAAGTAAAATTTGCTTTAAAAATACATATTAGTATTTGGGGGTAAACAGATTCACTTGGAGCCCGACAACTTAGCAGCAAGCCATCTACAAAGTATTTACATCCTCCACCTTCAAGGTGAGTTTTGTAGCTGAGGTGAAAAGTGGAGCACTTACAAGGCCTAGAGGCTTTATTAAATATTGTCGCATTGACTTACACTTTTTTTTTGGAAGCTGGGTTTGTCACCATTACATAAAGCTGTCTCTGCTCCTCCTTCAACTTTTGGGCTTTTTCTTTCTTCTTTCTTTATGTTTTTTAATCACAGCAGCCAGGTCCCCCGGTGGGGGCTGTTGGGCAGTGGACAGATCCAGACAGACCCCATGGGTGCCCCCAGTGCAGAACTTTGTGTGCAAGAGGCGCAGGGGGATGAGGTCCAGATCCCACCCAGCACCAYGGACACAGCGAACATCTCCCCTCTGCAGAGCTCGGTGCAGTAACTGCCCTCCCGCATCTGTCAGGTCTAATAAGAGCAATCAATGAGCACATCCCGTGACCCAAGGAACCCAAGCTGTTGGGTAATGTACTCACCACGTCTTCCAGCCTGCAAGGATTCAGCCCTTGAAGCCTCTTGAACCAGTTGCAATAGGCCAACCTCTCTGCAACTCATGGCAGGCTGAAAAAAACAGATTTATAAAACCCTTCCCCATCAATGCCAGATTATGGAAGAAAAGAATGACCTTTAAAGTATATAATAAGAGAATAACACCCAACTAGCAAGAGTACAGGGTGTTTGACATATAATGCAGGGTCCAAATTTGCATGTAGATATGCTGTGATTATTGCTAATTCTTACTTTGGATTTCAAAATAAAATAAGAAAAGCCCACTGCTCAGCGGAGATTTCATTATAGCCGCTCTTTGCATCCTGGCGAGGTTGCCTTGCCCTGGCAGGGACAGGGCAGCAGCCCCGCGGGTTCACACCCGGCGGAGGGCAGCGGGAGCAGCTCCTGCGCCGCGCAGCACACGCTGCCCAGCTCGCACGCCGCGTTCCCTGGGGACAGTCACCCGCGGTGGCAGCCGCAGCGACCTCGAGACCGACCTCGCACCATCACCCGTGCACTGATGCGTCTGTCTGGGCCATCTCTATCCCCTGCCTTCACCTGACCTTCTTTCTATCTGCCCAGCTACCTCCTGCACCCCTAAAACCCYCAAAGCTTTGTAGGATGCTAGACCTAATCTTGCGTCCTCCCGCCAGCCTGCTGGCCCTGTACACAGCTGAGGCATCCCTGTGCAGGGCACGTGAAGCACACACATGCAATTTAAATCTGAGAAATACTTGTAATAAAATGATTCTATCAGCCCAATTATCACCCCAAACAAACACCAGAAAAGCTGCTGTTTCATCCTGCCATGCCTGTAAACTCATAATATATGGTGGATGTTAAGAAGCAATGACAAGCTGGATTAAGTATCCTCACAGTACCCTCCAGAAAGCAATATATAAAGCCTCCAAAACCCAAATCCAATACTGCCTTTAAAATTAACTGTGTTAAAACAACAAGCAAAGAAGCGCCCAGCTGCACTAGCCTGTTTTAGCCAGCCCTGACAGCCRCAGCCGGCACCCGCTGCAGCGCTCGCACCGGAGCATCTGCCTTTCAGCTCATCCGCTGCTTGAGCACTTTGGCAGGGTWAGAGCTCTGCTTGCAAGGTGGTCTGAAAGGAGATTAAAGACCTCATTTAAAGCACAGGAGATACTCGTTGCACTTGTCACTGTGCATCACATAGTTAATTACCCAGGGTGAGCATATACTCCACTAAGGAGAAGAGCAGATTTCCCCAGGCGTGCAAAGCTTTAAAACAGCCTTCCACTAAACTAGCATGATAGACGATCCCTCTCTTTCTGCCCGCTTCTAATAACCATAGAGGCGAGAGAGGAAGATATTACAGTTTTGACAAGAAAATCAAAGCCCATCTCAATTAAATGGGTTATTAACCCCATGTCTGTATCAAATGCACCAAGCAGACRCTTTTGAAGTGCCTGCCAATAGTGGGGATGATTTATCAGGCTCTGTGTCATCCAAGACACTCGGACTTCAAAAGCTGTGGTCAGTGGGAGTCCTTGGCCACTCGAACCCGCGCAGACATCAGAAACAGCCTCTCTCCATAAGCAAAGAGGAACTGCCTCCTGACTTCACATCTGGGACCCTCGGCAGTCAGACGGGGACATTGTAATAACAGCAGAGAGGCAGAACCTGTGAGAAGCAGATCTAAACCACGTCCTTGCTGCGACCTGCGACTAGGGATTAGCTGTCGGACAAGGGCATTTGTTGGGGCTTGAGGCTCACTTTGCTTGTGCAGACCTCGATGTGCTTTGGCCAAGGAGCCAAAGGCTGGGGCAGGCACTGCAGCAGAGGCCTGCGCCGCCCTGCGCCCTCCTCCYGGCTCCCCTCTCAGCCTCCGCTGCAGCCTCCCCTTCCCAACACGGGCGCCCGCACCGCRGCTGCGGAGCCCCTTCTCTTTCCCTCCTTGGGAATTTCACTGAACCACTGCTAGAAACTTCACAAGGTATTTTGGAGGCTTTGTCTTTCTTGCTTTTGGTATTTGCAAAGAAAACACACCATTAGCCTATAATAATAGATACTGATGTTTGGTCGTAAAATCACTCCTTAGAGAATTATTTAGGTCAGCTTCTGCAGCAACATAACCATGCCAGGAAAAAAAAAAAAAAAAAGAAAAGAAAGAAAAGAAGAAAGAAAAGAAGAAAAAGAAAAGAACTCATGAGTTCTTATACATAGATTCACTGTTTTCTTTATCTGATGTTCCTTCTAATAATGTCTTTCCATATTAATCTTAGGGGAAAAAAAAAGATATTAACCCTAAGCAGATTTAAATACACACCTGTGTCCACTAAAATTTGGACAAAAAGTAATAGCTGGCTCTTACAATTACCTTTGCCAAGATACTTTGAGCTGTATCTGTATTGAAAAACACTATGCTGTGGATTGTTTCTAATTTTCCACGTAGTCTTAATATGGGTGCCCTTGAAATTCCAGCAAATCAATCCCACTACACATGTAGTCAAACATCCCTGGTTGCGGTGCAGCTGCTGGGTGGGATTCAGACAGACCAACACGCTGCTCTGCGAGCAGACCACCCCTGCGCAGTTCACTTTCCTTTGCTAAAACAGCCATGGCACTAAAAGCACATTTTTAACACCAGAGTGCTAATTAGGGACATGCTATTGCTGTAAAAGTAGACGTAGACTTGACTACAGCAGGGACATGTTTGGATTTATGCTATTAGATCAACTGCCTGGATCTAAATCCAGAACTACATTAAACCTGCTGGGAAAAATCTCTCACCTCCGATATCCCTGAGCACCTGCTTCGGTCAGTCTGTCACTGCGATGCAGGCACTTGCATTTCCTCTGATGCCAGCAGCTGACAGAGGTGGGGAGACCTGCTGTGGTCCTGCCCGAGTCATCCCTCCTTCTGGGGGCAGATATGCTCTCTCTGCCGAGAAGGGGCTCTCACAGGGACTCCAGAAGCCTTTTGTTATGTATTGCCTCTGGAAGAACACTGTAATATAGCAAATAATTCATGCTTTCTGGGAGATACTTGAGAAAGCATCACGTCAAAACCACCTGCAAAGGCAGAAAACCTTGCTATGCTAAGTAGGCAATGGTGAGACACTTAAGCCATGTCAGGCATATACACTTATCTAAACTCACAAATAAATCTCAGCTCAGCTTTGTCTGATGTACAGATTGTGGTGGGATTTTTTTTTTTCCAAGTATGTGATTACCTGTAATTTCAGTTGCTTCTTATTGCCATCGTGATTGGCCAGGCTTACCTACCAAAACGTGGCAGTATCATTCAAATAGCACAGCACACTCTTGTCCTGGGAATAAGAGAGAAGCCATTGGAATAACTAACTGAAAATGGTATTTTCAGTATATCACACTCCGAAAACTGCAAATATTGTTGCTATGTGTGTGGCAATGTCTGAAGCACTTAATTAGTTACTTTGATTCTGCAAGAACAGGGATCTTCTTGCTTTTTTTTTTTTTTAAACTAAAACACTCTAAACAAATAATTGCTATTGCAAGCAATAATGGTTTCCAAAACACATAATATGCTGCCCCAGAAGGAGACACGAGAAGATAAGCACCTAGGTGCCTCAACTACATCCTCTCATGTTTGGCACCATGGTGCCCTGAAGGGTGTGAGCCCATTCAAGCTGACTTCAGATGATTTGGCTTTCCTAACAGAAACCCGAGACACTTGGCAAAAAGCAACATTCTTCCAAGAAAAATATCAGTTTCTTGGAAACTGCAAGATTTCGTTAGGAATAGMGAAGGCTAAAAATTCACGCTCAGTTCTAGGCATAAATAACAACCTGAAGTTCCTGCAAAGTGATTTGTGGATCGCAGCCCGGCTCCGGCGCCGCAGGAAGGGACAGCGGGACCTGCATGCCATGTGCGTGCGCCGCCATCCTCTGCCTTCACCCTGCGCCTCGGCGCCGCCGCTGTCCCCGCGGGCAGCCCGCGCTGCTCCGCGTGCCGCGCTCCCRGGCCCCTTTCCTGGCTCGGGCAGGGACGGGTCCCTCTAGGTGTCACGGCATTGTGTCCAGATGGCTTCATCCTGTGGCAAATGCAGAAATACAGAGCACAATTAAGGCAAACGCACCTCAGCATGAGGCAAGCCAGAGGAGGAGCTGTGCTGATCCACTGCGCTGCTTTCAACAGCAGAAGACAGAGCTGGAATGCAGCTGTTGGTGTTGCTAATTCTTAGCTATAAAAGTGACAGTGTAATAACAGTGTCTGCACCCAGTGGCGACCGCCTGGCTAATGTGTCTCATGGTGATGCTCGAGGTGGTACTTCCTTTCAGGTGYGCTACTAATGAAGCACAACAGATAGCTCTGTACAGGTTCTTCTTTCTATACACCAAAGGAATTCTGCAAACGAATTGCAGATTACTCAGAATTGCTTTGGCACCCATGCTCACGGCTGACACACAGGCCCATTTCACCTCTAACTGGCAGCAAAGCAGCCGGCACCATCAGTGCACGTGGGCAGCCGTGGAGCGCCGCGCCGCAGCGGTTCCTGTGCACACGCACTCGGTAGAGTGGGTCCTTACAGAGACGTTAGCTGCAAGCTGCTCGTTAACTAAGACAGGGGCGATCAGCGGGAAATTCTGAGGCACCTTATTTCGAATGCATAAATATGCAGTATTTATGGAAAACAATAAAGTGTTTGTATCTGGCGGTAGAGGAGCTTCTTTTTGAGACGGGACCGAGCCCTGGCTACTGCGGCCGCGCAC